TTTGTGTTCGGTATTAGTTTTCAGGTATTAAAGAGGTGATAATAACCATGTCATTTCAATAAACATTATTTAATGCATGTTTTCTAAATTTGACATAATATGACATTTTAATTTGGTTATCCTAAGGATTCCAGTTGTATACTGTAAATAGTATTTTAAAATGGGCTTTGTTCTTAAGCCGTTTAGTTTATCTTGTTTTATTGTTTCTAATTCTAACCAAAACTTTGCTTTTTTATTTACATGTAGGAAAAACCTTTTATTGTACAGGAGGCACCCAGAGTATTTGTGTATTTTGGTGACTTCAAATCTTTTAATAGCCTGTGACATTTAATTCAATATATTAAATTTCATCCAATAAGAATTTGCAAAGTCTTCGGCCATCAGTGGTCAAGGATATTTGTTGTCTTTGACTACTTTTTGAAAGAGAACATTTTCCCTCATTTGTATCCTAAAGAGTTTGTGTTTTGTGTTCTTTCCTTTTAAAACTCTTTATTCTGAGTTTTAAAAGCTTTTAGTTAGTTAGCAATTCTTTATGATTTATTTGTCAAGGTAATTTTTGGTTTATAATCAGATGAGCACTTTGAGACAAATTTAAATTTTTTTTAACACAAAATACTGTTATTTCTATAAAGGATAAAGGAACTTTTGTACATTTGTAGTCTTTTGTTACATAAAATTATTAAGGAAAGAAAAATGGAAAAATATCTGCAATCTAGGTTTTAAATGTATCTAAAATTCTAGAATGTTGTATCTTTCACCTGAAAAACAAAATTGGATCAAAAGGTTCCATTTATTGTATATTCTTTTCTACTGAACATTAATAACAGTAATAAGAACAATATGCATTTGTATAGCACTTTGAAGTACTAACACATGGCGTCATTTGCTCATTATAGTCATTCAAGGAGATATTTAGGAGTTACTATCTTTATTTAACAGATGAGTAAGCCTAAGTTTAGAAAGGTTGTGGAGTTACTCCCCCGCAAGCTAACACCTCAAGTTAATGGTAGAACTGGAGTCCTGTTTTCCTGACTCCCAACTAATGTTCCTTCCACTCTAGTGAAGATAAATTGCTTGGTGAGATAGATTTATATGTACCTATATAAATGCATTTTATGCATGTACATTAATTCTAGTATACTTTTGACTCAGTAATTACTCTTAAAAGTTGTCATAACTTATGTTTAGTGTACATAACTTATGTTCAGTAGAAGAGTAAAGACGGTAATGTAAGCTGTTTGCTTTGTTTTCCTTTAGCTTCTTAGCAAAACTGGTTGTTAAGTCAATAAAGAGTGAGTTAATGAAATTCAGTGATAACAAACAATGCAGTACTTTTCTGGTTGATGTATGTTGTGTACATGCTTCCCACAGAAAATTCTTGCTTTCATTATCCAGTGTACTGCCCAGGGGTGGACATATCTGCCCCCCACCAGTCTCCTAAACGCCTGTGGGAGTAACACTAATCCTGCCTGAAATCCTATTGAATGTAAAGGAAGGAAACAGTTTAATTTTACCAAAGCCCTTTGCAAACATTTCAGTCAATTGACATAGTTTCATTAGCTATGTTATCTAGCATTGTATTAAAAGGCCCCTTCTTTCTTCTATAAAAATAAAGAGAGCAAATACAAAATTGTAAATTTAATGTTATTTAGTCAGAGATATCTGAAAATATAGTTCCGAATACTTTCCAGATTTAATATCAGCATCTTTGTTGTTATGTAATGGACAGTCACTCAGTATTTATTAAATATCTCAATCTAGGAATGATGATTTGCTACTTTAAAATTTATCAGGATGTTGAAATCCCAAACATATATTGTACTATTGTGATTTTTTTGTCACAGAAAGAAAGCATGAAACATTTGCTTTTGAAATAGAAAATTGTTGTTTTTTGAAAGCATTTTACCCATGTGTGCAGTAAGTAAAATATTTGTACTTGTCTGGCTTGTCTTCGCCAATGTGACAGCCCAGACCTCTCTTTGGTTGGAGACATAGGGGTAGATCCTTCTGCTGTTAAATAGGCAATTAATTTTCAAAGAAATGTAGAGACTGTGCTTGATAATTACTAGATGGAATTTATGTTGTCCTTTCCGTAATAAATTGTTCTTTAAAAAAGAACATTTGTACTTTATATTTACCAGTTGTCATAGGGCTTTGTTAACCTTTAAATTTGCTTCTGGGTTCCAGGTTTCTAGTCCAAATTTAGTTATTTCGTGTATGCTATAACTAGCTGTTCACAGAGGAAAGGAGGATCAGCAAATTAATTATGCTTCTGATTATATTTAATTACCAAGATTGATGCTTTCACTCCTGTTCCATAATGTATATTTTCATATGTAAAATGCTATATTTCATCCATTTCAAGGCAGACATTTTATTCATATTTTAATGCCACTGATATCAGGATATGTCATATAATGTGTGACTTAATTATAATTAGTAACATTTTTAGTTTCTTAATGGCACATAAAACAACAGGGTGCCTTATAATTCATTAAATTGGATGAAAATAAGTATAATGGAAATATCTTAACAAATTTTGAAGCACCATTTGAAACACAGGTTGTTTGCTTTTCACTATTTTAAAATGGGATTTATAATACCTACCTTGAGGGCTTGCTAGGAGCATTGCTTTATAAGAAATGCATGAAACATGTAGCATGGTATTAATAGATGTTCTAGGCTTCTTCTGTTTCTTACTCACTCATCTATCTCCTAGGCTCCAGTTTTTAGCCACTGTCGTTCACTTTTATCTTGCTGCCAGTGTTGTCTTCCTTTACTGTACCGATTTTTAGATACCTTCAGTTTTTCCCTATTGCCTACAGTGTAGCCAAGCCTCCTGAATGTGGCAGTCCAGGTTCACGATGCAGTTCCATCCTTATGGTCCAGTCTTTTTTATCCCTTTACAGTCTGGACTCTGACAAACTTTCCTTGCTTTTTATGTCCCAGTTACGTTAGATTACTAGATGTTGTCCAAAAACTACTTTGACTGTTTTTGTGGTCTTTCAATTAACATGCCCTTTTTTCCATTCTCCCTTATCCCCTGATTGTTTAAAACAATGAGCAAAAAATTTATTAATATATTTGGCAGAATTATGTATATAACAAATACATATATCTCGTAAGCTGTTTATCATGACCGGTAGCCTGAGGTCACCTCTACCATCTATTAGACTTATTGTCGGGAAGCAACTTAAACTCTCTAACTTTGTATGTTTTCATCTGTATTTGAAGTGGGATTTAAGTGGATGGTCATTGTTTCTGTCCTTTGTAAAGTTCTCAGCCTAAAATTAATTATAACCCAGAAAGTATGATTCTATGAGAACTGAGATAACTCACCCAGATCACTTTTTTTTTTTTTTTTTGAGATGAGGTCTCTGTTGCCTTGGGTAGAGTACAGTGGCATCATCATAGTTCATTGCAACCTCAAATTCCTGGGCTCAAGCTATCCTCTTGCCTCAGCCTCCTGAGTAGTTGGGACTACAGGCACACACCACCACTGTCTAGCTAATTTTTTCTATTTTTAGTAGAGACAGGGTCTCGCTCTTGCTCAGGCTGGTCTGAAACTTCTGACCTCAAGTGATCCTCCTACCTTTGCCTCCCAGAGTGTTAGGATTAACAGGTGTGATCCACAAGATCACTTTTAAGTTCTTATAGAACTTAGATGTATGGCCAGTTAAATAGGATTAGGGAAAAAAGAATGTGGGTTTGTGAGCGCCAAGCACTTTTTGTATTTTATGTCAGTTAATCCTTCGAAACTTCCACAGGTAGGTTGGTATTTTACAGGTGACAAAGTTGACGATTAGAAAGGTAAGTTATTTGCCAAAGATATAAAGCTTGTTAGACTCTCTTAGCTCTTAGGCTCTCTGACACGCAGCAATGGCTGCGTAACAGTGTGCACTTTAGCTTTTGTCAGCTGTGGTTTCTTTTCTTCACAGTGATTATTCTCCAGACTATAGACTATTTGCTCTAGACAGTTTGGAAAAAAATGTTTTGGTTCAGTGTATGTGTTCAACCTGGGGTTTGTGTTCTTTCCCTTTCTCTCCTGGACTGTATTTCTATTTAAACACCATTGTAGCAAAAAAATAATGTTTGGCTTTCCGTTACTATGCTTATTTTCTTAGGGTTATAAAGTGTGTTATGTGTGTGCATTGTATTTAATTAAACAGAAAGCAAATGTTTAATAGAATAGGAAAGAAATGAAGATCATAGAAGATAAAGTCATACTCGTAATACATTATTTATTACTTTTATGTATCTGGCGTCCTGTGTAGGTCAGAATCAAGGATTTCAGTGCCTTGAGTTAAGCAGTAGTGGTGGTGGTGGAAGTAGTAGCAGTAAAAACAGGGTCAGCAGCAGCAACAAACATTGAGTTGTGATCATGTGCATATGTGTGTTACTATGTTTCCAAGTCTTTTATTTGTTTTGTGTTTTTTTTTTTTTTTTTCTTGAGACAGAGTCTCACTTTGTTGCCCGGGCTAGAGTGCCATGGCCTCATCCTAGCTCACAGCAATTTCTAACTCGTGGGCTCAAGCGATCCTCCTGCCTCAGCCTCCCGAGTAGCTGGGACTACAGGCATGCGCCACCATGCCCGGCTAATTTTTTCTGTATGTTCTATAGTTGTCCAGCTAATTTCTTTCTATTTTTAGTAGAGACGGGGTCTCGCTCTTGCTCAGGCTGGTTTTGAACTCCTGAACTCAACCCATCCGCCCGCCTCGGCCTCCCAGAGTGCTAGGATTACAGGCGTGAGCCACCGCGCCTGGCCAGAGGGGATTTTTGAAGGGCTTGGCAGTTGTTCTAGTAGGTAAAGCAAACATCTTTTCTATTTAGCAAGTAGTGATACTATATTCTAAAATTGTGTTTTGCAGGAAAAAAGTTTCAGCTAACAGACATAATATTTTTATAAGTTTGGGGAAATCTTTATTGGCTAAGAAATAATACTGATATAATACATTTTAATGCTTTTATACTCATTATTTTTTCCCCCTTCTTTTTTTTAGTTCTTCACCAAAGGACATGGATGAAAATGAAAACAACCAGTCCCTGGTGACTAGCAGCCAATATCCTAAAGAAGCAGTAAGAAAATGCCAAAATTCAGCACAGAATTCTGGAGGAAGTGATTCTTCTAGGTTTTCTAGGAAAAGCTTCAAACTGGATTATCGACTAGAGGAAGATGTAACCAAATCGAAGAAAGGAAAAGATGGGAGATTTGTTAACCCTTGGCCAACATGGAAAAATCCCTCAATTCCAAATGTTCTCAAATGGCTGATAATGGAGAAAAATCATAGTAGCATTCCACATTCTAAAGAGGTAGTGCTTGACATTTTAGAGTGCTGTGTATTTATTCTTTTTTTTTTTTGAGACAGAGTCTTACTTTCTTGCCCTCCCTAGAATGCCGTGGCTTTATCATAGCTCACTGCAACCTCAAACTCCTGGGCTTAAGCGATCCTCCTGCCTCAGCCTCCTGAGTAGCTGGGACTGCAGGTGCATGCCACGACACCCGGCTAATTTTTCTGTTTTTTATAGAAACACGGTCTTGCTCTTGCTCAGGCTGGTCTTGAACTCCTAACCTCAAGCAATCCTCCTGGCTTGGCCTCCCAGAGTGCTAGGATTACAGGCGTGAGCCACCGCGCGTGACTAGCCTATATTTACTCTTAGTACAAATTTACTTGGCTTAGCTGTGAATTGTATTTTGACACTCAAATTAGTTAATTGAGTCACCCCCCACCCTTTTTTTTGAGACAGGGTCTCACTTTGTTGCCTAGACTAGAGTGCAGTGGCATCATCATAGCTCACTGCAGTCTCAAACTCCTGTGCTCAAGTGATCCTTCTGCCTCAGCCTCCTGGGTAGCTGGGACCATAGGCGCATGCCACCACACCTGGCTATTTTAAAAAATGCGTAGAGGCTGGATGTGATGGTTCATGCCTATAATCCTAGTAGTTTGGGAGACCGAGGCAGGAGGATCATTTGAGGTTAGGATCGCTGGAGACTAGCCTGAGCAAGAGTGAGACCCTATTTCTATAAAAATAGAAAAATTAGGCTGGGCGCGGTGGCTCACGCCTGTAATCCTAGC